AATAATATAGGATGTGTTGCTTCCTTAGAGAAAAGTGGACAAATGGTTAGGATATCGTGCTATCCATAACTAGCATATAGATTCTACTTTGGGTTCATGTCTGACTGTTTATTAATCTATCTCAGGTTCTTTGAGTCGGGTTGAACTTGTCATCGGCTGTTGATGTACACAACATCCCCGAGGTTTTGATGCCGTTAATATCTACTTACAGTGTACTTTTGCGTTGATGTGGTGGGCTTGCACTAGACCTAGCATCATTTCGAGGGAAAAAATAGTTTTTGTAAGAAATAGACGAATTTGTGTACTTATTTTGGATTCATAATCCTATAAAAGGAAGACAAGTTTTTATATTGAATCTTCACAGGTGTTTGTGAAGATGCCAAAATGTTGGCTTGATCTATGTTATTTTTCTCACCAACGCTAATGTTAATTAAGGTGTTTATTTTTATGCTTGATAAATCTACGTTGAAGGTTGTTTTGATTAATCTATCATGGTTAATGGCACATTAATTTTTAAGTTTCAGTATATTTAAATTTATTGAATTATGCCAAACATAACATTGCATATGGCAACGATGCATTATCTGTACATTGATGTAGGTTGGCTCACATTAGTATTGAATCGATTATTTTATGGTCCACTTAGGTAACTATGGATTGTTCGAATTGCGACTCACTACGGATAGGGCAAATGCAGCGAGAAGAATAACTTATTACTTTATCGTAGATTATAAAAATAATGACAGCGAGAAGAATAACTTATTACGTAAAAATAAATAAATTCGCACATAGATCTTATCACATGTGCCAAATGCAATGGTAATTAACTCCTAATTAAATTGTAATTCTGAAAATAGGTACACCTCAATTACTGGCAAAATCACACCAATTGTCGTGTACATTTAAGTTTGACATATTGGATTAGGTGGTTGGCAAGTTGAGCATCATGAATGTTGTATCAACCAAACCAGTTTAAATAGCAAGTCCACTTCTCATGCAACTAACACTTGAAAACTTGTTCTTGCAAGGGCAACTGATACACACCAGATTCCTACCTGGGATATTTGGAACATATGGCTTCTTCCACTGCGAGCAACGATACCGAGCTATTCAACATGCCAACGCCGATGCCTGGCTCGTTTCCGGACTATCCCATCGTAATTTCGTCGAATGATGAGGAGGATGTACGTAGAAATGGGTGGAGAGTCACTTTCCCTATTCCGTTTCCCGACCTCGACGCATTCACGAGCGCAGAATCGCAATCACCTAACACATAATCCAAGTAAATGTTGGCTTTAATNNNCTTTAATCATAAAATATGTACAAAGTTATAGTCAAATCGGTACAATTAGTCTGTGCTAACTATCGAGAACGACAGAGACAATCTGTCTGGAACGACATATGAACTGTCGGGTTTTCATGTGTAGTTATAATTTATGATCTATCCCAACTGTCGAGAATGACTGAAACAAGCTGTCAGGAGTGAAAGATGAATTGTGGAATTATCATCCAGAAATGAAGCCGTATTTTAGAGTGTGTTTGGGATACATTCTTTTGAGAGAATGTATTATTGAATAGTAGATTGATGGAGAATGTGGGGTTAAAAATGAAGGAAAATTTATTGATGTGAAAGAAAATATTATTTTATTGAAGAATATGTAGTTGAAAATGAGTAGAAGAATGCGAATGAAAAAAATAATGTGTACCAAACAGGGCCTTAGTAGTGAATGTGAAGATGGATGCTACTTACTACAAACGATAATGGATGTAGAATGAGAATGTAAGGACGAAATAGTAATGCAAGTTGAAAACGATAACGCACGATCATAAAGAGTAATAATGTCTGCTAACCATAATATAAATAAAACGATGACATAACTTCATATTGTACAGCACCATAGGGGAACATATAACATACTACTTCAACGTTGAGAGAGATGAAGTATATTTACAT